CTGATGTAGTGTTCAGACTTGACTTAACAGGAGGTTGTCTAATCTTTTCAGGATATAATATACAGTATAGATCCCTGTGTAGACTGTAATTGAGTTGGATTTATATAAAGATACACCTGTGCACAAACCCAGGTCAAGATAATTATTAAAAACATATGTATAAAATCCCATAAAATATAAAAAAGTGGACATAAAAACATTTTTATCTGGACCTGGATTAAGTTCAATATTTCCAATGACTAAAAGAATATTAAACAAATGTTGTTTCTGACTGGTTAAAACAGAGTCTGTTATATCCGTGCCTTTAGCACTAATGTCTTTTGTCCACTGATGAAAAACAGTAACATTGGCCCAAAATTACTACCTGATCAGGTGAGGTTCTGAAGCCAGTCAGTAGCTTGCTGTTCTTTTCTTCACTGAATTATGCACACTTCAAGGCTTGAATAACATGGTTCCCACCATGTCGGACACCAGCATGCTCACCAAAACCAGTAGCTCCAGTTTGATCCTCAACAGAAAAACAGGGCACGGCTGATGTTGATCCAAACAGACAACAGGGAAGCTGGTACGCCTCACTTGTTAGATTAGTCGCTCCGTCCCGGCTCCCACCGCCACGCGTCCAGGCCGGCAAGTCCACCCCAGGTGCTCCGTCCAAACACGAGGGACAATCTGAGGGCCGAGGGACTCCATCCACATCCGCCACTCCACCGAGACACGCCGCAACAGCAGCAAGCAGGAGAAACCAGCCCAACCAGCAAGGTAGATGATATTTACCAAAGTTAGGATAACTTATGGTCCATGCTTGTATACACGCCATAGGATGCTTGTGTGCTGTTGTTTTTCCAAAATGATGTCATTTGTGTCTTTGATCTTCAGTTTATGTAGCATACAGAGTAACAGCAACACTAAAGCTGAGGTACATTTGGTCAAAAACAGACCTGCAGATGCCTGTAAAGACAAATGGGATGTATTTTCCTGCAGCGATACTGCACAGCTACATACATCTGACGCCACCGCCGCCATCTTGATCATGTGGTCCTGCAGTTGTATAAAGGTCCTGTTTGAGCTGCAGACCTGGTGTATTCTGCAGTGACTTTCATCAGTGTCAGCTGGAGAAGATCCTGATGTAACCGCTCAACAAAACAACTTATTTCTATTATTATCAATGAGATGATATTTCTTCTGCGTTCAGTTTTGTTTATTGTAATTCCATGTTGTTTTGTCCAGGTTCAATTAAAAAAAATGTCAATGTCATAGTGACCTTTAAAAAAGGAAATTTAAATCCCATTAAAATTATGAAAGTTTTTCATTGAAGAACTTTTCACTGTTGACCTGTTTGCTACAGCGTTGAAAGGATTAGAATAACGTCAGGAAGAAACTGAAGAAGTAAAACAAGTTTGTTGGTGAAATTCTCTGCTCTGTTGTCCGAGCTGTGTGTTGAAATGTGATTTGTTATTATGTGTTTTCCAGGCCACCAAGCTGTTTACATTTCTGATCTTCATCCTCATGAGTCATAAAGCTTATACAGTTTAATCCTTTGTACACGTCTTGCCTTTGTTTTGTCTTCAGTGTTCAGCTGAAGCCAAATAAAGCAGGAATTTACAGCAGTTCTGTTACTAAGTCCAGAGAAATTCAACTTAAAGTATTTAACACATCTTTCTGTTTTTCCTACATATTGTTCCAGAAGAATGTGTCACAGTGGTAAAATATTAGAAAATTTATCTAGTTTAGTTGTGTCATCTTTCTTGATTCATCTTTATACAATTAGACAGAGTTTTAATGTAAATGTATCATCTATCACTGATGTGTGTAATGTTTGTGTTGTTGTTTGTTGTGTCTCAGCTTATTTTAATAGAAAAACCTGTTCATTTGTTCAGAGGGATCATCTGTACAGATGTTGTTGTTTTCACCAGTTTGTTATTTTTTTGTATACTATGTATACATTTACTTAGCTATATAAAATAAAGCAAAATAAAAGCATTTAATGATGTGTTAAATCATGATTGGAGCTTCAGTTTTTCATGTGTTCATTAATATTTTACAAAAGTTGTGCAAAGGAAGCTTTTCCCACACAGCTGATGTTTTACAGGTAACATGAACACAGCTGTTAACACAAAGGCCTGGTCTTTACTAAACACAAAACTTTATTTGTATGTACTGTGGTTTTAAACATTTGTGATGTTAAACTAAAATAGATCATTTCTGAAAGAACTGCAGAAAATGTCTGTATTGTAGTCTACATCACAACATGCACATTGACTAAAACTGGACGTTTTAGAGGTTGCTGAAGTTTTTAAAAGTGTTAAATGCTTTTATTGGGTAGGGTTGTGTGTACTTTTTCCTTAATAAATATTTTTGATGAAAACCGGATAATATTGTAATCTGTGTGGATGCATGAAAGCATATATTTGTTAGCACATTCATTGAGTTTATCAGTTTGTGAAACATGTAATGAAAGTGAAATATTGAGCAAATCATGAAATAAGCACAGTGTGTATTTAAGTTATAACTGAGGCACAAATATACTGTAGTTCTTTAATTTCCCCAAGAGATTTTTATATGTCATGATCTAATGAGGAGGCAGTGATGAAACAGGCACATTTCAATGTTTTCTTCTGATTAGTCTTGAAAAAAACACTATTTTAAGAATATTGTTAGTGGGCAGAAAAATACTACAGTATTTCTCTCAAAGCTTGGGTACAAAAAATGGACAAAACTGGTCAGAATTTGTGTTCATGACTCTTTTTAAGACTCAGGTCAAACCTATCTAATCTAATGTTTTAGATTACATGTGTGATGCTGAAGCTTCATTCTCCTTTAGTGTTCACATTCATACAAAATGTGTTTACAGCTAAAGAGCTGCTCAGCTAAAGGAGGCACACTGTACTTTAGACTTTCAGTTAAAACTATTTAAATACACTAATCCAACTACTTCAAAGCAGTCTTGCAGACATGCTGTGAGCAGCACATGAAGCCACAGCAACACAGTGACGTGTTTCAGGAATGTCAGATGCTAAAGGTAACTTGTTAAAATATTCCTCCTAACACACAAAGCTGTTAACAACCAAGCTCCATCATATATTAAACATCTTATTGTTCCATCCTTTCCTAACAGAGCACTTCACTGTCAGACTGCAGGTTTACTTGTGGTTCCTGGAGTTTCTAAAAGTAGAATGGGAGGCAGAGCTTTCAGTTATCAAGCTCCTCTCTTGTGGAACCAACTTCCAGTTTCCCCATCACATTTGATTCTCCACATTTACCATAAAATATTACTTCACTCAGTGTTGTTTCATTCTAATTTCATTCCACTTGATTTATAGAACAGTCACATCANGTGTGTGTGTGTGTGTGTGTGTGTGTGTGTGTGTGTGTGTGTGTGTATGAGTGTGTAGACACAGCAATACAAACATCTCACAGATCTGAGTGCATTCCATCAAAATAAAAGCATTTTATTCCATTAAAATACAGGAAATCTGCTGGAGGGATAACTCAGCAATTGTCAACAAAACATGGATAAAAGTTCCTTTCATCGCTTCTTTTTTTTTAATGGTGACGAGAAGTCGTGGACAATAAAAACATTCTGATTTACAACACTGTCATCCCGCAGAAAGCGACTTGACTCCACACTGATGCAACTTAAAGGAATGAAATAATAAAATCTTAATACTTTCTTTTTTTTTCTTGGTCTTTTGAAGAGCTTTGCAGTGTAATAACCAGTCCCAAGATTTACTGTCCTGCTTATTAAAGCAAAAGTGCCACATTTTGTTGTTGTTGTTGTTGTTGTTTTACTGGAGCTCAAAGTGACTGAGCTACAAAATAAAAAGTGTCATAAATATCTCCGACTCATTAAAGACCGTTTGACAAGACTCCACTTTCTATCTGATCCAACACTGTCGATGAAGTCATGTGGCACGATTCAACAAAACGACTCACAGTCACAGATTTTCATCTTCAAGTTTCCTTTATGCCTTCTGTCAAAAGGGATATCATTAAGGCAGTTTTACAGTGGATTTAGACATTTTCTTAATCTAGACTTTACATCGTGAATAAATCATTTCATAGCCTAAAACATAAAAGATTCTCTGGAGGAAAAAAAAAACTATATTTACAGTGAATGTACACTAACTTCAAAATAACTTCCCTTTAAAGCTGGAATCTTTATATACACAATGACTATTTGGATTTGCAACAAGGAGCCATGTAATAAATTACTGTTTCACTTTACCTCCTAACATATTTACAAGTTCATGGAACATTAAATACTTGTAAAATCTGATCTGGTGCCAGATGGCYGCTGTGCGTCATAGAAAAATAGTTTTCATTTTATAAAAGTATTGGCAGTGCACAGCTGAGTGAGTACACGGATTTAAGCTGATTTGTTACAAAAAAACAAACAAACCCAAAAGAGTGTCCATTACTTTAAAAGTTTTAGCTTATCTCATAAGCAGAAAGCTCCAGCTGTGAAGTGGTGTGATAAGAGCGCAGCCTCGTTCTCATCTGTTCTTGTTTGCATAGAAATATCCAGATGTTTGAATAAGAAGGCCTGGCTGCGGGTGAAAAACACACACACACACACACCTTTAGTCTGCAAAGGCTTCAGGTCTGTGAGCTTTAAAGTCAGACAASAGTCGGGCCAAAGTTTAAGGACGTGGGTTAAAAGAGGAGCAGCAGAGCCAAGATGGATGCCGGCAGYGTCGGAGCCCAGCGGGCTGCAGGGAGAGGGGCTCCGCTCCCCACTGCCCTGCTCGGCAGCTCCGGCGGGTCTCCGTCGTCGCCGCCGTAATCGTCGTCCTCGGAGGCGCTGCCGTCGTCGTACAGATCCGGGTCGTCGTAGCACAGCGTCTTCATGGAGTTCTTCACGAACTCGCAGATGTTCCTCTCCGCCCCGTCGCAAACGCAAGTGTCCAGCTTCTGCGCTTTGGGGATTTTACGCATGTTGGCGATGACGTTCCGACAGGCGTTGGTGCACACCGCCCCGCTGAAAAGTTTGCCACAGTGGTGCAGGTAGTCCTGCATGGCGAAGCTGCACTCCCGGTCCCGCTCGCACTGGCGCCGGGCTTCCGTGCAGCCCGTGCTGGTAGTCCTGGGCAGGCACGGCTCGATGGCGCGCTTGGTGCTGACGCACAGCGGGTCGTGGCCGCAGCTGCACTCCTCCAGGGCCGGGCCGTTTTTGGTCAGGTTGAGCTGCACGAGCGAGGAGATGCAGTGGCTGGGGCACCTCTTCTTCTGGCCGCTCAGGACCGGGCCGCACGCGCGGCTGTAGTGCTCGTACGCGTAACCGCACTCGGGCTCTGCCTGACAGTTCATGATGGCCTGCCAGCAGATCAGCCGCCGGCCGTGGTGGGACGGAGACGCCACGGATAGGGAGCCGAAAACGAGAAGCAGGCAGCCCAGAGGCCAAACGGGTCTGCAGACGGTCCGCGCCGACTCGTCCATGGTTCCAGCTCCCAGAAGCGGCATCAGCAAAACTTGCGCAGCGCCTCCACGGACATCAGTCCACGCTGGAGAGTGGTTCCGAGAGGGCAGATGGTGTGCGACAGGCCCGTGTGTGGGGGGCGTTCAACGGGCTGGCACCGCGCTGTGGAATCCCAGCTCCATAAAGCCGTCAGATCTGACCCGTTTGAGCCGGATTCTTCACCGAACCCATCCGCTACATCACGATTCAAGGTCGGGAGAACCAGAAGTAGAACTGGAGGAAAAGTTCTCCCAAAASGAAAAGTTCATAACATCCGAGCGACTCTGAGCTCATGAAGCAACTGGCTCCAGGCAGCGCAGCGGGTCCTCGCTGCGCTCTGCGTCCTCAGAGAGCCGACGATCAAAGGCGGACAAGWCCCGAGTGTCCTCCGCTGGAGCGCGCGCAGGACCATTAAACTGTACTTGTCCGCACGGGACTGCAAACAAATAGTGCGTGGAGAAATAAAAAAAACAGCAACTCTTGTAGGTCGTAAAGTGGTCTTCTACCCTCAACCCTGTTCCTGCCCTCAGCCCCCCCGGCATACATTAGTGAGACCCTTCTCATTGGTCGGCAACTTGTTGAAGGCTCGTACGTAGGAATGGGCGGGAGTTCAGACTGAGAGGAGGGGAGGGCGGTGTGTGTGTGTGTGTGTG